CAGATTCTCCGGCTGTCTGACAGTGGCGGATTTATAGCTGTAGCTCCTCTTTTCCGGTGCTCATAAATGCAGCGCATGCCTCGAGAGCGGTTGTAAACACGCGCTGTGATGTGCCGCAGTCTCTGCAAGCGCATTATAGCAAGGTTGTTTTGGATTATTCATGACGTCTCATGGCTTTCCGCGCAAAATAAAGACACAAGAAGCAGAAAGGCTTCTGGCTACCAAGAAATGAGACACCTTAAAACTGTCCTCGGCAAAGCTTCTTATGGTACAGGTGAAAAACTGAATGAAAAATTTGCCACAAAATAAAAGGTTCCCATTGATTAATTAACTTTGTGATGAAAGAAGGTTGAGTTTTTATGCATGATCTCACAAAGCTGCTTGTAAGGACACATCTAATTGTTTCCAGCATTTTTTCAATGCCAGCATTTTTATTTAATCAATCTATTACTTCACTTTCAGCGTACCTTTAGGCACTGAAGGAAAAAAAAAAAAAAAAAAAAAAAAGCTATGGAGTTGCATTATACTTAATGACAAAGTGCACTTTCATACAGTCATTCAGGAATGCCACATCTTCTGAGACAGCGACACATTGAAAAACACTACTTGTTGGCTTAAGAACAGGGGGTTTACAGTATAAAACTCTATCCTTTGATCTTAGCCCAAAAGAAAGGAAAAAAAATGACTGAGCCTGTTAATCTTGCCAAAGAAATGGAGCATGTTAGCAACACAGTAAACTCTAAATGACAGCGATAACGTGATATGACTTATAATGTGACCTTTGGGGCCAGGATAGGAGGCACTAGCATTTGAATGAGGACCAATGGTCACCACAATGAAATAGCATTGATAACTACTGTAGCACTAATATTCTATGGTCATTGGCGACAGAGGGTCATGCAGGACATACCCAGTGAGGGAACCTCACCTAATGCACTCTTAAGAAACACTAGAATGCGTCTTTACTCGTGAAAACAGACGTCTCCCCTCGGCCCCCTTCCCTGCCTAACCGACCAGACGGATGGACAGATGGACAGATAGACGGGCACATACCAAAAGGCACTGCTTCAGGACCTGAGTAGTAAGCATGCAAAGGTTTGTCAAGATCATGCAAACGGCTTTGGAGTTACGCTCTGAAAACGAAGTGGGAACGCCCGAGGCGAACACAAACACGCATGCGAACGCGAACCGCGAACAGGAACCGAGCTTAAAACAATATGTCGCCCCTCACCCTCTGGGGGGGAGACATAATAACCAGCTTATTACTGGTCAGGATTCAGGAGCTTATCCCAGCATGCACTGCAGGAGGGAAGGATTGGTTATCACTCAATGGCAGGGCAAGCACTTCACTCACTCATGCCATTAGAAGGGCAAATTAGATTCACCATTTAACCAGAAGTGCAAGTGTTTTAGCTGTGAAACTGGTATAGCCAATGGAAGCCCAGATTGACATTGGGAGACAGGCAAACTCCACGCAAAGAACAAAGGTTGGGTTCGTCTTTCTGTGTGACAACATTACTGTCCACAACTGCACCGGCATGTCACTCGTAAAAACAAAACTATAATATCAAAACATCAAGCTATCAGTCAGGTGTATCAGTGCAGGGAGAATTTTAGCATTTCCATATCGGACACATTATCATCTCAAAGGCTTAAAGAGACCCTTCATCTGTTAATGGATTACCTCGTATTTGTTTTCATGATTTAATCAATGATTATTGTATAGCCACTTTTCCATTAGGGCTAATTAATTAGAGCCAGTCTGAAACTATATGTCTAATGGAAGCAAGCCATGTGAGCATAATGATTAAATTAGTAAACTATAAAAATGATAGACCTTAGTAATGCATCAGTTTGGGAAAATGCTAATTTAACAGTTTAAATGAGCATGGTGAGTACACAACAGAGGGCCAACAAAACTTCAGAGATTGAAAAAATCTATCATTTCCACTTGCAAATGATTCAATAAAGGCATAAATAATTCATAGAAGTAGTTCCGTAGCCATAATGAAGAAATCTAAATTGCTTACTCGCATAATATGATGAGTGTATTTTTTTCAATGCAACAGTAGAAATATTGTCCTGAGTTTTCAAATGTATTTTTTCCTGTCATCCTGACCTATGAAGGAATATAACCGTTTGTCTTCATATTTTTCCCTTGAGAGTTCTTTGCCTTTCCTTTAAAGATGGATTACATGAGGACACCTAAATACAAACTGCAAATAGCACCGAAATGCTTAATTTACTCATAATTCACAAGAAGCAACCCAACCCCTCATATCCTGATACTGTGTGCCAGACCATATGACTACACTCCTCTGCTCACCACGGTTGCTCATAAAGCCGCACTCTGTGCGCATCACTTTATTTTTTTCCTAGATATCTCAAAAAAATGTCCAACCAAAAAGTATTTTTAAAAAATAGCATTTGCTCTGCCCATCTTGGCCTGCTTAAAAAAAAAAAAAAAACAGATGTCATACAATGTATCCCTCAGCACTGCAAGCCTCTCAATAGATTTTCAGTCTCACCAATGATTTATACATAACCTCTGTGCATTCTAGTCTTAGCTAATCCTTCAGGACCCCACTCTGTCGAGAGACCAGAATAGCCTTATCGCAGTATTTTTTTTTTTATCCCCATGGCTATTGTCCCTTCCCCTGACAAAGTATCATTGCTTTTCGCTTTCCTACGATATCCACAATAACCTGTTTCCTCTCAACATGCTGCAATGTGCATGGTGACAAAACCTTCGCTTGGATCGCGGTGTTTTATATGATGTGATTGGTTGATTCATCTGCATGCGGGGGAGAGGGTCTGTTTGTCATTTCGTTTTTACCTCATGTTCAAACAGATTTGTCAGTTTGATTGTGAATCCAGAGTGGCAATTGATTTGGTAACCCTCGCCAGCAAGAAAAACTATATCTTCTTGCGTTGTGATGGCAGGTAAAGACAGGTTGAAAACCTATTTTTAAGGGTAACAAATCGCCTGTACACTGTCGTTTCCCCAAAGAAGCACGCATGCCTGCTTGTAGAATGCGCTGCGATCGACCCGGTCTGACCCCAAGGGAAGGTACTGGATCTGGAAAATGTGCTAGGCGCAGTACCGAGAGGCTGGAGACATTATGAGGCATTATAGATGAGGATAGGCTCCAGCTGTTCAGGTTATTTTAACCCTCATTGACTGCTTTATTCTGATTGAGCTGTTTTTGTGCTACCTTGATTTTTCATGCATATTCACGCAGACATGCGGACTGCGTATCAAAACGCTGTCCCTGGCTTCTAGCTGCATGAGAGTCCCTGGAAAAACTGAGAGTAATGTATTTTCTTTCCTGAGAATGTTCACACTTAGAAAATTTAACACCTCTGACAAATTGCACTTTAACAAGAGATTCAGACAGATCACAGTGTGGCATAGCATCGCTTGTGGATACTCGTTTGCGCATTGTAATAAAGCTACTTACATCCATGTGCTACTTCAATGGCCCTGGTTTGGTTCCACAGAGGAGAACAGAATCCCAACAATAATTATGTTCTTAACTTTTTTTAGATCTTCAGTGCTGCATGGTAAGTGATGTGAGAGCATGAGGGAAATATGCATTTGAGAAGAATAAAATATTGATAACTGTTAAAATTAAAGATTTGATTAAATTTTACCGTTAGCAATTGAATACACCGTGTGCAAGCACACACACACAGGCACACACATATGCCCACACACACACACACACAAAGGACGTATCGTGCAGGAGGCAAATTTAGGGTTTGTTTTCGTTGTTTTATCTGATAGTATCAGCATTAGGACTGCTATACTCAAAATTGTCTAACATGAAAAAGATAATCCTGCAGATTGAATACCAAGCATACGGTATATATCAATGATGAGAGGCGTAAAATACGATACATATATCAGTTGCAAAACAACACCGGCAAACAATTTTAACTGTAAAAAGTAATGTAATTATGTAAGGTTGTAATTAAGAGCGATAAACTCACTTTTATATTCCAAGTGGAATCCGGCTGCGACCACACTGATGTCCGTATGGAAGTGTAGGTAAAGCTGATTTGACGTGCTGTTTAGCAAAGCCGGGGCTGTAGTCCCTGCAACATACAACAATATTGCAGGAGATATTCTTCCATATTCACAAAGCTGAGGAGCGTGCAAATGAGTATGTACCATGAATTTTGCTATTTAAAAGGTCATTCATCCGTGAAATGATCAAGTGCCGCAAAGTCAGAGAAGCTAGTCCAGAAGAGGCATACCAATATCTGTCATTTTTTGACAGCACAGAAATATGAATGCTCATGTAAGATTCTCTCGAGATGTCAAGCAGTGATATTGAGAATGCCACACTTTAACCACTGGTAAAAACGTAAAAATATCTATTGCAGACTTCAGGGATGGATTTTGGGGCCATGATGCGTACGCTTCATTGCCTTGTCAGACCAATTTAGCTTGAAGTGGAGTAAAGATCACTCACTCTTCAAATGCATGTAGACGCGCACAACAAACTCATGCATGGATGCGCACACGCACGCAAGTGCACAAACACGGGGAAATCGCTCCCTCAGAGTTAATGTGACACTGAGCCTTCATTTTGCTACATGCTCTCTGAGCCCTTTCTCATCCCGATGCGTCATATAATGATGCTACCTGACCAAGCATCAATATTTGATGACAAGAGAGTCTTTTGGCATCCTTATTTGCCACCAGTTTGAATGGAACCCTAATCTCTACCCCAAAACGTCAAATATGGATGCCAGGTGAAGGCGAAGTCTGTCCTGAGCCCATTTAGCTCATCAGACTGCTGCATAACTCCAGTTTCTGTTGCATAAAGCAACTAGGAGTATTGCCACTCCCCTGGATGGGATGCTAGTCCACTGCAGGTTACTCCCCAGCTCTCCGTCAGGTTTCCCTGACAATTTGCTGGCACCCAATTATACACCTGGTTGGAGTGAGGCACTGTGGGAGTGAAGTGTTTTGCCCAAGAACACACTGCGAAAGCCATGGCAAGGACTTGAACTCAGGACCTTTTTATCACAGGTCAAGCGCACTGAACCACTATGCCGCCACATCCCCCAAATATGGATGCTTGGACAGGTAGCGTTACTATACATCAGGATGAGAATGTGTAGGCTTTCTAGTGGTGGATAAGATTGAACCATTGACTACAACCCCCCCCCCCCCCCGTTCAGAGACATCTGTATCACAGGTGAGGTACGGGTAGGCACATAATCACATTCACATTAAAGTCTGCTCAATGCAATGAAACATGTCACACGAAAGCATAGAGGCCTGCAAGATAATGCAGTTATTCACAAATCGCTCCTGATTCAGGTGAGGAGATTACCGGAAACACTATATTTCAATAGTGCAGTGCTAAATTATATATATAATTCAGAGAAAATGCTCTTTTAAGGCTGAGTGCCTTGATTAATAATCTTTTGAATGAAGTTTGACGTCTCTGCGGGGCTCATCCACTAAGCAGCCATTCAGAGGACCTTCAATGCCATTAGTGAGACAGACATCGCTGCCATTCCTTCTGCACGGCAGGTACACTACAGCTGTGCATTAAATGCACTATATTGGATTGGATCTGGAAATGTTAGACATGCTTGATTTCACAGTTTGTCAATGACCAGTGTTAGCCTTAACAGAGATCTGAGAGTCGTTTATTAGATTTTTTTGAGATTTTTGGTGATAGTAGATAATACACGGGAACAGGAAAAAACAGAAAGCAGGGTCACAAAAATTAGAGGCACAGCACATGAATTCAAATGCAAGTAAAGACCAAGGGATGATTTTTTCTGAGATTACAACAGTGCCACATTGCTCAGGCTAACTTTTAAGATGTCTCACACACTTTTGATCGCATTAAAATACTAATTTATAGGCCACATTGTCTTAATGGAAGCAGAAAAAAATGCTATAGGTTGCATCAATTAGACAAACTAGCTGCAGGCTGGCAATCAGGCAACTGCTAGCATGCCGCAGCTAACTTTATTCCAGAAATCTTAGCTCCTGTCAAAATACCAAATTTTCTGCAGTCAGGCCACAATCTAAACAAAGTAAATGACTTGAAAAGCCCTGCAATCAGATATAATGGTGGTCTGTGCTTTGTATCACAATTTTGAAGTCCTGAGCATGTGACAAGTCAAGAGTGAAGGTCAATCTCAACTACAAACCTCATATTTGATACGGTTCTTGACATTAGCAAAGATGTTATTTTATAACGTCTTTTTTATTTGAACCCTTGTTTCTCTCACCGTAAAAATGCAATGTTTTTTTTATTCAGTTGAACTGTTTCACTAGCTTAATTTGCATTAATTAAAAAAGTGATCATAATCATTCACTGAAATACTAACATAACAAAAAAAAAGTTTTCTTTTTTGACAGGCCTAGAAATTTTTTTTCATTTTGGACTCTGCAATGAATACGCATGGAGAAACTGAAGCTTTGCTAAAAAAAAAAAAAAAAAAAAAAGGAAAAAAAAGTCTTAATTTCCAGCTGTAACTGAACTGGCATTTGATTAAGTGTGATTAATCTTCAGTGAGTTATGATGCAAAGCGGGAAAGGATGAGAAAACACAAAAGCCTATCTGACAATTTAATTAAAGGAATTATACTAATGGATTTGTAAGTAAAAGTAGAATGGAAAGACTGATTGTAATGGGCGAGGGGTGTCAAGGATGTAAAATAGGACGACACAGGGGAGGTGAACCATGCATCTTAATGCAGTGCCAAATTACATAAGATTTAACAGCACACACAATGTCACTGATTGCTAGATACATATGGCAGGCAATCCTAAACCTCAAGCAAGGCGGGCTGGGAAACTAATCTCGGTTTCCGCAGTCAAGCAAGGGCCGAAGGATCCATTAACGAATACATGCGAGTGCATCTGGCTGAGAACGGATACAATTTCACTTAATCAAAAGTACCCGTAATTCACTTCTGTTCTGCTGCAATCAACGTCATTTTCATTTTTTTTTTTACAGTTTGTAAAACAGCATGAAAGCATAACGCCTTTATAACTTGACTTTGTGTACGAAGGTTCATCCCGACAAAATATCCAGGAGTCTAATCCATGCTCCACAGGTAGTCTGCTTGTATATAAATGTAATTATCTTGTGCTGTTGAAAACCTATCATGTGGCGACTTGTCTAAAAGAGCTCCCATGCGGGAGCTCTTTTAAACAAGTCGCCACATGATAGGTTTTCAACAGCTTTGATTTTGATATCTGACATCATTGAGAAACAATAGCTGCATTTAGCCCTCTAAGGGTTGAGTCCTCTCTGCGTATGGTAGAGTGTTAGCCTTTATCGAACACACCCATGCAGGCTTTTATACAGGTGATTCCAGGACACAGAGGTTTTGCCTCAAACTGCGAGCGGCTCTCAAATGGTCGAACAATTCATCAGCATGATACCACAACACTACTGCTGACCTAGAGCCCAATATCTGATAAGCCTTTCTGCTAGAATCTCTTTAAGCTGGGCCACAAATCCCTTAGCTAGGAGCCAGTAATTTTAAATCAGTCTCCTCACCATCAAGAAGCCAACTTTTCGCCGCTCCTGCTGAGATATGCCTGAACGGCTGTGATATAAGCACGTCTTAATAAAACTATTAGAGGCACTACAAACAGCAGGTCCATCTGCACTCGGACTGAAAGAGGACCCCGGAACCTCCTGGAACCATTTGAAAGCTCGCCACTTCATCTTGCGTTCCATCAAACTCAGCCACGCGCGCATCCTATCGGGCCGTTAAGTAACTTACTTGAAGCTGAACAAGGGAATCAATTCCATCTCAGCACATAAATCCATGAGCTAATTTGATTTGTCCACTCAAGTTTTCTGAAGATTAGATTACAACTAAAAACCAATCACCCCCTCTAGCCTTTATAGTTCCCTCAATCAACCGGGTCAGTATCTTACTTACCCGATAATGAGACAATTGGCTCTGCCTGCTAAAGAACTCTGAGGGGTAATAAAGCTTTTTTTCTTCAGAAATGACCCAGGGCTATATACAGGACTGTCTTTTTAATCTTGAGAATTATTGAATGATATTACTGCAAAGATGGATGGCTCAGGAAAACTATACTGAATTTGGACTGGTAATTTATTCAAATGAGATGAAGGAAGGTGATACATATATAGAAAAATAATCACAAAAATAATCATTAGTATTCAATTTAATAATAATATTGAGTATTACTTTTTAATTTTATCTTTTTTTTCCTGTCAATGCGCTGATATTGCATTGAGAAGTACATCTGAGAGAACGTGTACGCAGTGAGGCAGAATGGAAACTTACGGGGTCTCTGCTTCAGAAATCTTAAAAATTCATTCTAAATGCGGTACACAGCTGTTCATTTTCCACGAATGGGATTTTTCTGATTATAAAAACTCAACGGACACAACAGTCATTGCCAACTGGATCCCAAAAGGTTTGTCTCCTCTATACATATTGTGATTTATTCACCAGGAAATGAGGGCATTCTGCAGATATTAAAAAGATGACACCCAAGGAAATAGGCTTGGATTCACACCAATACCTATAATCTCCTAGTTATGAAAAATTGAATAATTCCTTCGTGATTTATTCTATTTTTAATCATTTGTACCATTTACATTTTCCCACACACCATGCTAATTCTGTAAAATGAGCACTGTGTTTAAAGCAAACAGAGCTGTTCGTCACATTTTCAAAGAGAACAGTACAAACAGTTATTACCTGAAAAGCTCCCCAGTTTTGGAGCGGTCATGTCTCCACCATCATAGATTTCCAGGGAGTCCCAGTTGTGCTCAGTAGCAAAGCTCATCACTTGAATCTAAAAACAAATTCATCAACATGAAGCAGGATAGCAAGCAAGCATATGTTGCACTTGAATTTCGTTACACATTTCTTGATTTCTCAATTGACTAAATCCCAAATGATGCTAAAGTGTATTAAGTGGGAAATGAAGTATCATTAGTCAAAACATACAAACAAGAGCATTGTTCTAAAACCCCAATTCCGAAAAGGCGTGCACATCCATGGAAAATGCAAATAAAAACAAAAGGGCCGATTTGAAACGTCCATTCACCTTAAACTATATTGAAAACAGATTAACGACGCATTATTTGATGTTCTAATGTGAATTTGTGATGTGATGACAGCAACAGAGCCCAAAAAAGTTGGTACAGGTGACCATTACCACTTCATAATATCACCACCTTGTCTTTATATCGCACCCATTGAGCGTTTGGGCATTGATGACACCAGATCAAGTCCAGCAACCTGGATTTCCCCAATTCCTCCATTATGCAGGTCTTCAACTGCGCAATTGTACAGGGCCTTAGTTGTCATATATTCCACTTCACAATGCGTATTCCTTCTCAATCAGAGAGGTAGGCTAATCTAGCGCCAGCTTTCTCCGCTTAATTAATGGTACTCTGGTAAATGTGCATGCCACCTCTGTCATGTGCACTGACACACCCCATTACCATCAGACACACGCAGGCTTTGGGATCTGATACTAAGGTTGTCCCTACCTTTTGTCCGGAGAAACACAGAAGCAATTTTTTCCAAAAACAACTCTGAATTTTGACTTGCCGGCCAAAAGACTCGCTTCCCCAGGTAAATCAACAAAAAATGGGTCATTGTATTGTCGTCAATAACGTGTTAGGAGAATGGACTTTTAAAATCACCCCTTTCTAATTTTATTTGCATTTTCTACAGAGTGCCAGATTATTTGGACTTGGAGATGTGAAAGCAATAATCGTATCTTACGTGCTACTTCATTACTTTCAGTCTTTGAGATATACAGTGAAAACTTCCCCCACTGTAAGAGCACTGTAAACTGTGTAAAGTCATTCAAGGAGTCCAAAAAAAGAAAAAAAATTCTCTGTTTCTGCCTTTTTCATTCCTGAACACTAAGAAACAATCCCCATCTGTTTTCTCAATATTTTACACGTCTATTTTTAAGCTCCTGTCATTTTAATTTTTCAGGGGGACGACTTCTGGTTTAATTGGGTTACCGCTCCTTAAGGCAAAAGTGGAAAAAAAGAAGAAGAAGAAAAAAAACTATGAATTTTT